GGGGGGGGGGGGGCGAGATACTGGGGCGTACTTTTGAGTTCTCCTTTTGATGCCTATCATTGAGGTATTGTCAAGTAGCCAGCTGGTGCTAGTCACAAAACATCCGTATTTGGCATGCAAGATGTTTTCAAAACATCTCCTGTAGCTCTCTATGGGGTGAGCGACAATGTTGTCGGTTAATCGCTCTTGCTGGCTCTTTTGCAGCCCTGGGCGCTGCGTTTGTCGTTGGGAAGCCGTATTTTTGATGTCGCTGCCGTGGCTGCTTCCGGTAACCCAAGTGAACAGGGCTGATCTCTGCACTGCCAGAGGAAGGGAAAATACTAGTTGAAGCTGTACCTTTCGGCCCTCGACTCATGCCCCGAAACATGCATCCACGGTAGTGCGGTAATTTGCTCGTTCTCACCCCCCTACCCCTCTCCCACCATCTGCCGTGCCCCTCACTCTGTTAACATAACGAAATCTGGATGATTTGGCTCATCATGCCCCAAAACACGCAAGCACGGTAGCGCGGTCAACGGGTTGTTCTCACCCCCCCCCATCCCACCATGTACCGTGCCCCCTCGTTTCCCCAACATCACAAAACGCGATGGATGGTGTCTGAATGCACAGACCTCCCGACACGGGACTGCGCAACGGTCCATGCTCGCGCCCCGCGCGGCAGCGGTGGGCATCTCCAACTCCCCCATGCTGGAGCCCCACAGAGGTATGACGCAACCCGTGTCCCCTACGCGATCCGTCCGGTCCGCCTCTGCTAGCAACGCCGACGACGCTGATGCCACCGCTAGTGGCACTGCCGCCAAGAACCACTCGTTCATGGCGTCGTTTGCGGACGGCGGGAAGGCGTTCGACCCCATCCCCGAGGTCTCGATGGCCGTGCGGGCGATGAACGTCGGGCAGGGGATGCCTGTCGTACGGCGGCACTCTTACACGATCGGGGGAAAGCCTAGGTGCGTGCTGCTGCTGCTGCTGTTTTTTTTTCTGCTGCGTGGTTTTTCATCTTGTGCAACGTTGTTCGAGAGTGTCTCGAACCGGTTCGTCTACCAATGCCTGGTGTTGTTTCTGCTGCTGCTGCTGCTGCTGTTGGTCTTGTTATCGCAACACACCATGCGGTGCCCGTAAACCCTGCTGGGCTAGACCGTTGTCACCCTAGCTCCAGCCGAAAATCCCATGCTGCCGGCATGGCGTTGAACTTCTCGCATTGTCCCTCGCTTCATTGCCTCGTCGGTTCTCATCTCTTGGCGTCTGAACCCGCCGCTCCTCCGCTCCGCCCCCGTCTCTACCGCACGCGCTCTGGTCGATGGTGGCCCCCATCACTCGCTGATGCTTGCTCGCCTTTGGTTGCGCCCCCGCCGCCGGCTGCTGCTGATCGGGAATCAACCTGACAGGATTTCGCTCTCATTGGCCGAGTTCCTCCAGTCGGTAGCGCAGCCGGAAGCGGAGCCGCCGAGCTTCTGAGTACTCTTGATCTAAGTATTATCTGGCCTGATCCGACCCCATCGATCAGGCTGGAGTTGTCCAACTATCCCACGACAACCGAAGTCCGCGGAGTTTTTTTGTGTTATTTCAGCCAGGAACACGGTGTAGTAGCCGGCGACATGCCCAACCTGGAGTTAGGATTGATAGCTGCTGTTTCCGTGCTTGACGTATTCCGAGTTGTCAGCGGCCGGGTGTCTGGTGGGAAATCTACGGCCGAAATTGTAGGCTTTCCTTCGTGTTTGTTGGCCCGGAAGATGCGGGGTGTGGAAGGTCAAGATCGAGCCGCAATATGCAAATGTGAACTATATTTCGGACCAGAGTGGTGTGCACGAGTGGTGTTTGGTCGCTTGTTGTGTCCGCGAGCAACCTTGAAGAGGCTGTTAGAGGAGAGGAGAGGAGTGTTGGATGTAGTAGATGCTTGAGGTCTGCGCCTGGTGTTGTCTGACGAAAGTGTGTGGTTCCGTGTGGTGCAAACGCAGCACGGACTTGAAATGGGAGTGAACATGTTTGAAGCACAAATGTGCTGTGTAGCATGGAGGAAGGCGAAGTACATGTACGGGCTAAGGGTGTCAGGAATGAATGTCCAGGGGCTATCAATCGCTCTTCTGGCCTCCATGTGATGGCCAGAGAAGGGAGGGGGTAGTAGAAAAACGGGAGCTTGTTGTTCATGGAATGCGGGTAGAGAAGCTCGGCGACTATTTTTTGCATAGAAGTGACGTGCACATAGAGAAGTGATGTGTTAAACGTGGCGATCGTTAGAAGGAGAGATTAGATGGCGCTAGGAAGTGATGCCATGAATTGATTTGTGTCGTTCACGTCCACGGCGAAGGTTGCTGTTTCGATTGGGCGGGAACTTCGGTGTTACATAGAACCAGGCGTGCGCGTACGCCGGCTCTCACTCTACAGGGAGCACGGTAGAAGCGCACGCACGCACGTCCAACACCACAAAATTATCCAAACTTCACGTCGCTGTAGTGTTACTTGTAGATGGATCGAGAGTGTCTTGTGGAAGCCCCCACGGTACCGCTCACGACGCGAAGGTGCGGGTTTAGATTTATTTTTCGCGCTCGCCGCGCCTGTTCAAACAAAACATAGTAGATGTGATTGGTGATAGAAGACTAAACGCTTTGTGATTCTCTCAGGGTGGTGTGATCGATGGTACACGCAACACGCGAACGAGCTGTGTTAGACAACGGGGCTGCCATAACAGTGTGTTTTTGGCGATATATCGTGCCTTGATAGAACGGCTGTCTGTTCTTCTATCAGAGAGCGTGCTGCAGTTAGATAAAGAGGCGTGCGACGAAGTACAACGAAAAGCACCCCATGGTGAGTCAAGTCTTGGCGAGGTGTGCTCCTGCTTCGTCTGGGCATGAGTCGAACCCCCTGCTCAGCCTGCTTTGTCGCGCTCTGCACTATTGATGGCCGGCCCGGCAAGCATCGCCTCGCTGCAAGTTATGTAGAACCCCGAGCTCCAGGGCTGGGGCTTTGTCGTGCAAGTCGTTTCGAGTTGTGGGGTCCGTTCCCGGGTGGGCGTGCTTGCTTGGCTTTGCTGCTGTGTCGTGCTCTTTGTTTTTCTCTTTCGTCATTATCTTGCATGTGTTGGTATTTTGTGGATGCTAGACGGCACGTGAAGAGTTGGTTGCCTCTTGGTAAGGGGTGGGTGGCTTGCCGCCGTGGCTGATTGTGGCGTATCGTATAGAGGTCTGCTTGAATATTTTATTTTTGAGTTGTAGAGCTAAGAATCGCTCATGCTGTTGGCGCGTGTGGGGATGAATCGATGCATAAACGTGGGCTGACGCGCGAAACACATGTTTTGCTGGCCTTTGGTCGTGGCGAGTCGCCGGGCGATTGTTTTGGATGAAGAGAAGACAACCTCCCCTCGACACCTTGTTGATCGATTTTGGTTTGGGTCGAGGTATGCAGAGAAAACGACGAAGACTGTTTTTGATAGTTGGTTTGGGTGAGTGGAGCGATGAACAAGAATTTTTTTTTTGTGTTCTTTTTTGTCGTGATTCGGTCGACCGATAGTGGATGTAAATACCGACTTATTTCGTTGGTATGATCTGCTACTCTGCAGGTTTGATTGTCGCTATTTGCTTCATATATCGGTCGGCTTGAGCTTTGATTCCGGTCGAAGGCCACGCATCCACTCTCTGAGCGCTGGGGGTGATGATGTTCCAGACCATGCTGTTTGTCTTGAGACCGTGGCATATTGACGATGCTCCTTGATTAGTCCTTGTCTTGATGGTTACATGTAGAGGAGGTGATGTCCCAGACAACTAGCTTGTCGGCAGACGCTCGTCACTGTGGCAACGGTCGGCGCGTTGGTGATACCTGGGTCTTCAAGGAAGCGATCCGGGCAGTGTTGAACGCTGCGTGCAGCCAACCACGAATGTTTGTTGTGCTGTTTTTTGGTGGCCTGCTGTTGGCGAGCTTTTGAGGGAACTTCACGGGTAGGGATGCTATTATAGCGTACATGAGCTAAGTGCCAAGATGACTTGTGACTGAGTTTGCGTCGCCTGCGATATTCAGCTGTTGCAGCCTCCGAGCTGGGAGGACACTGTTGTTGCAAACGATTATCGCGAGCAACTTTCGATTGTTACATTAGGGGATCACAGGCTCTTCAGAAGCTATGGCTTGTGGTGTTTGGTGTGGTTGAGAGATCGGGGAGGGTAATGAACTGTGCACCGTTGTCTAGCAGTTCTGCACGTCATTGCTGCGTTGTGTGAGCACCTGTCCAACAATAATTACATGTTCGAAGAGTTTTTTTCATCGATGTTCATTTTCTCTCTGAAGGAAGGTCGAGATGGAAGAAACGCTCGACACGTGGCCTTCCTTCATACAGCTACACCTGCTGGTTGCATCCAAAAAGTGATCAAAGGTATACAAATTTTGAAGGTTTTTCCTCATGTTGTCTTCACATTATATTCCGTTCCGCTCTCGCTGTCCAGTACCTTCTTCTGTCCGCATCGTGGCAATCCGATTAGTTGTGGACCACGGTCCTTCCCTCTTGCTCTCGGTACAATTCTGGACGCACCAACGCACCAGCCGGGGTTAATACAGGAGGGAAAAAAGGCCCACACGAGTTAGTTTTATACTTCCTTTTGCGGTGATATGCAAGTGACAAAAGATGAGGACCTACAACAACTATTCCTCTCGACGTTTCTCTCTGCGGTCGATCCTGTGGCAACATGCATCGAAGAACCGCTCCCTCAACCGGGATCTGCCCTTGTTGAGAGAGCAGCCACCAGCAGGGGCACAATCAGTCTGGGTGCCCTTGGTCCATCTAGCTCAGCCTCCTTACGGTCGCCCTCTCCAAGTACACTCGGACGGTGGGGTCGGCAAAAGTAGGGTAAGCAATTTATTCCAAACCGAAGCGCTACTTTTCCAGCGACAAGCTCAGGTTCACGACGAGGCAGACATCCATAGACTAAACCCAGAAAATCTTTCGCGAAGGACATCCGACGACATGTTTCTTCCGATGATCTCGCTTGGGTTTATCTCAATGCGGACTACTCGTGGTTTCCTCGAAGACTGGGGGGCGAGAATGTATGCATTTACTGAGACGGTTCGGGTGGCATAGTGCGGCGGTTCGCAGCTTGTGGCAAGGGGTATCCGGGGTGGTAGTGTTGGTCAATTGAAGGTCGGCTCTTGACATGAACTTCAAACCGAAGGCTACAAAATGACCTCAAACTTGACTGCTTCGGGATACTATTTGAGAGGAGTAGCAGCCTGAGCGCGCGAGGGGGGGAGGTTAACGAACACCGGTTAGTGGCAGGCCTCGTGTATGGTACTCGGGTAACCGGAACAAAAGCAGGCGACAGCCGTGCCTAGGGAAAGGAACGGGGAGACTAAATATGCCAAAGACAAGGCGACTGAATTGCATTCATTCTCGGACATGGAATGCAGATGTATATCCGATGAAGGTGCTGCTTCTTTTCGATGGGTTCCGTGTCACGCATCGTGTCGCCACAGCTTTCGTTGACGGATAGAATCATAGCCGATGGTTCATGTTGCTTCACCTCGAAGGGTTCTGCGTCACATACCTGTCGTGTCGCCACAGCGTTCACGCAGAGACGCACAGCCTATGCTCCGGGACAAAACTGTCTTGGGTCATTCATTGTATTGCTAAATCGAACATTAGTATTATTCTACAACGTCCACGAACAACAACATATGCCCGTACTAAAATGGCAAGGAACCCGAGGAGTCGTGAGTTGCTGAATCACCGTCGTTTACCGCCCAGTCACCCCTTGCTCTCTAATGGGACGGGGCAGAGGCAAAATAATGATACCCCCGTCCCCCCCAGACGTACCCCCCTGAGAAACAAGATCAACCAAGGTACCAAACGGAGACTTTCGGCCTCATTCTCAGGACTGCTTCATCTGGTGCCTGCTCTGCATTTCGCATGACCTGACTCAACCCCCTATTGCTTCATGAAGAAGCCTCATGTTCCTGGAATATTGACACACTAAAGTACTGTATCGTCAATAAAATAAAACAGTGATGATGTGGTTCATACATCAAAGGACACCGTCAGAAAAACAGGGTAAAGCGTGTGTGACCGTCTGTATCACAGCGAGAGCCCCCTCCTCTTTCCCAAGGGCGCCGAATCAGAGCCATCGTAATAGCAGATATGTTCACCACTCCCTCGCTACAACACTTTGCCTTTTAGATCGACACCACAGCTAGCTACTACATACAGCGTGTCGTCGCGGGTATCCCCATTCGGTGGAAGGCGGTCCTCCTACTAGGCCGCCCGCAACGAGTGACGTTGAATTCTCACATAGAAATGTTGCACAGGAGCACAGGCAAGACGAGTTAATCGGTTAGGCTCCTTTCGTCCATTTTGCAAGACGTCCACCTGACCAAACGGAGAAAATCGAGGACTCCAACATGAGACCCTAATCCCTACCCCCCCTTTGGTGAAAACCCGGCGTGCTCTGTCCCGGCTTTCTAGGCGTGCGAGGTCTACGAGCTAACGGCTACGGCCTGCACGGCTCTGAGAACCCCCCCCGCGCCCCCGGTGTTTGTCATCGGGGTTGGGTTTTCGTCGCTTGGCAACGACGTTGTAAGACAAGCCGCGCCCCCCTGTGTTTGCTTGCCATCGCGGTTGGGTTTTCGTCGCTTGGCAGAGATGTTGTAGGACAAGCCGATCACTTCGTGAGCTCGACAACCAGGTTACCGCCTTTTTTTTTTCCTTTGTTTTTTTTTTGCGGTAACCATGAATGGTGTCGCGTAAATTATGTTGTGCGGCCTCACTCCGCGCAAGGGGGATAATCGCACCACGTTGTGTTAAAATGGTCAAGCGCCCTCGAGGCAATTACAAAGTGCTTACAACTGTCTCTGGAAGTGAAAGCACCAGAAAATAAATTAATTCATACGCAGCTGTCATNATTAAGTCATGCGCAGCTGTCATACGTACGCAAGGAAGTAAGCACAAGATGCCGAAAACCCTTAAGCAGGATGCAGCGCACCCTTCATGCGACTCGCCGAATACCTCACCACTCTTCGTGCTTGGTGATGTGAGAGCCTGGTCCGGTGAGAACCCGGCGCGCTCCGTCCCGGCTTTGTAGGGATGCGAGGTCAATNGCATTGCTCTGCCTGCAATATTTCTTCCTGAGTCTCGAGGGAGCGATCGCTTTGAACCCAGCCGTAGGTTACAACAATGGTACAGCAATTGATATCCCAGGACCGGCATGTGAAATCCGGCTTTCCAGTAGCAGCACCAGAAACGTTTTAACAATTTTCCACTACCGATGCCATTGTGGTGCTACGGATGCTTCCAGCTTTGAACTAGCAGCCACAGAAACTTTTTCACAATTCCCGTTGTCGATGCCGTCGTTGTGATGCTACGAACGCTTCCGCTTCCCGGTCAGAGCCTTAACCGAGGTGTGGTGAAAAGGAGTCGGGTTGTACCCAGAGGGGTGGGTGTCGTTGCGACTCGTAGCACACTTGGTGCGCGTGCTGTTGACATTGCTGTTGCTGGTTCTGCGCTTCTTGATCTTCATGGTAGCCGCTGCTGCGCTCTCTGTGCTGCTGCCGGTGCCCTCTTCTTTTTTCTCATTGGTGGTGGGCGTCGTATCGGGCGTCGCACTCTCCGGCTCCCTAGACCTTTCTCTCTCGACCGTCCCACCTCCTTGCTCTGCGCCCCCTGCCGCAACGCGGTAGGTGTTGTTAAACGACACCTCCCCACCGTGGCCTTTTTCAAGGGAAATCACCGTCTCGTGTTCGGCTCCGATCTCTTGCTTGGCGGCGGTAAGCGCGGCCGTGGGCGGCGCTGCTGAAGGCCTCGTTTTCTCCCGGGAGGGGTCCGGGAATGGTCAAGGCGGGCCATGCCCATTGGGTCGTCCATGTGAAGCAGACGCACCCCGGAGCGTTGCTGCTGTTCGTGCCGCCGGCCTCCGCCTTGCGCACTCGTGGATCCACCTGTGTGGCCCTCGGTGTTGATAGCTTCCGAGGCACGGCACCGGCGATGGCGGAGGACTCGTGCTGCGTGTGGACCCTGAAGAAGAAATTTTTGCCGGGGGTTTCGACCACGGAGGTAGAGTTAGAATCCGGTGTTGAGGTGAACAACGTCGTGGTAGACGGGCGGCGGTAGTGGATCGACATCGACAGGGGCACATAGTGACTGGGGTGCACGGAGGGGTCTTCTCATGATTGATGAGGTGGAGGAATCGCCCTGAAACGCTCCGTGGCTTCCCTCTCTGTGCAGAACCGCTACAGCTACATTCACGAAAGGCCGTCCTCGAAAGGAGAGCGCCGCGACTCCCGCCCGCTCTCCGAAACCTCACGTCCGTCGCTTCAGGGCAACGCCAACGCACAGCTAACGGTATCTTACCGGGTCCGATAGTTCCACACGCGCGGGTGGCACCAAGGACAGTATTTTGGTTGTTGGCCTGTCATGATTGGACCATTTTCCAACGCTGCTTGACCGTTTGATCGAGTAATTCTCCTCTCCTTAAAGCTACCATCTCGAGCAAGGTCACGTTTTTCGGGTCGAGGCCAGCTGTAGACTACGGCAGTACCTCGGTATGGGTCGAAGCTGATCGACTGAGAGCTGCCAAGCAAAACACAACAAAACACGTAAGTATGTGTCCCTACCTGCGGTGAGGGTGTGCTGTCCTGGCAGCACCGCTGTACGCCGCCGGAGACGCCGACTGGGGGCGGCTCCGGTAGGCCTTCCCTTTGCCTTTCCTCTTCATCAAGGCTACCCTTTCCCATTCGTCCTCAAAGTCTCCCACTTCTTCTGACGGTGCTGTCCGTAGAGACGGAGAGCCTAGAGGGGAAGGGGTCGCCGGGTTGCGCCGCTTGGTTGGACCCGCGGGTGTTCCATCCTCCGGGGAGGCTTCGAAGACCCGGTCTTGGTCGTTGAGCCTCTCCCCGTCGACACGCCGGAGAGGACCCCGCAGCTGCTCCGTGGTTCCGGGATGGTAAGCGTTGGGCGGGATGCTGCTCTCCTCCTTCGCGCCGCTGGTGTCGGCGTAGCGGAGAGCTCGAGGAATACGGGCAACGCGCCAAGCGCCGCGGGTAGACGCAGTGGAGATTCCTGCATCCCTCGACCGGGAGTACGGGGGGAGGCGATTGCGGTTGGGGTCGACTGCCCCATCTTGCTGGATGTAGGACCCGCCACCGCTGCCGTTTCTCCTCGCGGCGACAACGGCTCTGCTTTGAATAGTGGTGGTGGTGGCGGCGAAGCTCGAGGTTTTGGTGAGAATCTTGGGACGGGCGTAACCATCGTTCTGGGCGTCGCAGCGCGTGCCCCCCGCTTCGCGCACGTCGCAGACGACCCGCTGCTCCTCCCCCCGGGCAGCTAGCTTAGCAGCCTGGTGCACTCCGGAGGCACACACTGCGCCCTCCGATTGGGAGAACGTGAGCGAGATGACGCAATAAAATGATTGAAGTTGGGGCCCGTGTGTTTTCCGCTGCGTGGCTGAGAAACCGGTGTTGCCTACACCGGGTGCAAGATCGTTATTTTTTGTGCGGAGGGATTAGTTCCAGCTTGATCGTGTGTGGGTTCACCCGTGTACCGAGACTACGCCTTTAGATCGAGTGAGAATTCAGCATACCACGTGAAAATAGCGGAGATTCGCCTGTCACGCGTGCCCGGTTCGTGAGAATGAGGAGACCGTTCAGATGGAACAGCGCGCGTCTAGCGCTTGATGTCGAATTGAACCGACGTGTCCCGCCCTCCACGCAAAACATGCGACATCACGATATAGTGTTTCAGCGTCAAACGGAAGAAACCATGATCCCAACATTGGCACCGTAACCAAATGACCAGACAGGTAGCCCTTCAAGAGTTTTTCTAACGAAGCGTTTCACACTCAGAGAAAACGACCAGCACTGCTATGCACAAGACATCCAGCACGCGCACTCACTTGTTGGTGGTGAGCGTGTGTGTGTGTGTTTTCGTCCTATTTATTATGGCGACGGTCCACCCATTTTTCGTGGTGAGACGTGTACTACACATTTCAGCGTATGTAGAGTACTACACTTTTCAGTGTATTTTTTCGTACAACAACCATCCAGGGTCACACAGGAGGGGGTAAACACCAGGGCTTACTTTCTTCTTTTCATTTCTTTTCATGCCCCTTTCAAGGAGTGGTGCTGTGGGCGGTGGCTTGCTCCTAGAGATGGATGAAGGTTCTGTCGTTGACACGCTTGTCCACGACCACGTTAAGATGGGAAAGTTGCTTGTTGTTGCTGAGAGACGATCAGCAAAGGTCTGGGATGAAGTGGGGATCCAACTTCATCTCAGGGGGTACACAGAGTAGACAATTCTAAGGGGGTAGGGGTCAGAAGGGAAAAACCTCCTGACCGACCCGCATCCTATCAAGAATAAGATGTACCCTTTTCATGCTAGCAGTCACACTCCTTAACACTAGCCCACCCTGAATATCATATATGCAGATTTTATACTCAAATCAATGCTCAAATCCTAGTCTTAAGCATAATTAAGATTTTAGCTGATGATTTATTATCATGAATGGAAGATATGACTCTTCACAAAACATCCAAGAGGAGGGTGAGTTGCAGAAATATCCCGAATCAATCCCCCACACCATCATTGAGATGAAGAATGCGAACGATCACGAGACGGAACATCGACATCTCAATGACAACGCTTGAAGGGATAAAGCTACGAAGAATATATACTGCGGCACAGCACGCTATCATCCTGAACAGACGACGACAGGGAAAAAAATAATCAATATCCAGACGCCACACACCACTCTTTTCTGCGCACCCGCGCGTATCACCGCTGGAGGAATGAGGGTGACTCCCCGAGCGAGTCTAAAATACGGTGACGAAACTCAAAACCCAAACAAATTTCCGAACGAATACGGCCTTTGATACTGGACGCGACGTAAAGGGGAAACTCAACGCAATCTAGGGCAGGAGAAAAGGACGACAGGCAAAGGCACGGAGAACAATGGCCAGCGTGCCAGGGTATCCAACTCGGATAAGGAGACGGCAGGGGTAGGACCTATTGACGACCAAGGATGCAAAGCACAAGCGATTGATGCAAGAGAGNGAAACTCAACGCAATCTAGGGCAGGAGAAAAGGACGACAGGCAAAGGCACGGAGAACAATGGCCAGCGTGCCAGGGTATCCAACTCGGATAAGGAGACGGCAGGGGTAGGACCTATTGACGACCAAGGATGCAAAGCACAAGCGATTGATGCAAGAGAGGCGGTCGACGAACTGTGCCATGGCTCGCTGGCGATACGCATCATTCCAAGACATAACACGGAAAGTCGTAGAGATTCACACAACAAGACGACGACTCAGGGGCGCTACTGTGATGAAGGCGTCGCCCGAAGGTGGCGATGATGGAGACGAAGCAGAACGAAGTGTGGGTGACGACGAAAATCCATGGGAGAAGGCGACGCCACGGGATGGAATCCCCAAGCACGAAGCGTATGCGACACCTCTGCGGTACGATGGAACTAAAACAAAAAACATTTAAGACAAAATTAGTTGGCAAACAGGCGAACCAGGAAACGAGGGGAGCTCGGTGTCCAAGTGTCCCGAGGCAAACATCACCGACGAAACTTGGGGAACTCTTTTTCCAAGTGTTCAGAGGCAGACAACACCGACGAAACTTCGGAGGGAGCTTGTTGAGAGAACCAAAGACCAACAACAACAAAAAAAATTGAAGCAAAGGCGAGAGAGAACGGACATCCAGGTCGCGGCAGTTCACTGATTCAGGTGAATTCAGGCAACAAGGAAGAAGGATCACTCGACACTGCGTGTCTTGAGGCGGCGTTGCCCCAGCGTCCAAAACAAAATGAGCCAACGAAAGAAACAAGACAAGACAGAAAAACAAACAAAACAAAAAAAACAAAACGGAAGGTGACAGAGAAAAAAAACAAAAAACAAAAGCAAACCGTCGGCGAGAAGGATGGCACAAACGACCAAAATAGGCCGATTGGTATATCAAAACGACGACGCTAAGAAGAAACGGCGGGAACAGCCGACGGTAAGGAGTCAGCAAGGAGCGGAGTGCGACCACGGTTGTCGCCCAGAGGGCGCGAACGATGTTTCTCTTAACACCATGATCCACAGACGGCGTCCAAGGCAGTGGAGTAGAGATGCGCAGGCAGAGGCAGAACGTTTGGGCCTGGGTCATCCAAAAATCGAACGATGTACGAGCCGCCCTGATGAGCACCAATGCGTGCGGTCCACCACAATCCATCCCGGGCCTTGTACCTCAGCCGCGCGCCAACAGGGAGGGGCGAAGTGCTGAAACGGCGAAGCCAAGTCGCATTAAGCAAAAGATCAGCCCCAGGAGGCAAATAGCGTTCTCCACGATTCCGGGCTAGCTCCCGCTGTGCCGCGCGAGTCCGAGCCACTCGATATGTACGGTTACCCTGCTTGCTTTGGCAGGCCTCCCGGGACCAGTACAAGAGGATGTGTCGACGGAATAGATCAAGGTCGGATTCCCGTTCCCATGAAGGAGTAGTCAGGCCTAACCAAGGCGCCTGGTACAGGCCAGCGAGAACGCCGCTACGGCCCCGCACCAGTTGATGTCCCGAGATGTA